GGTGCCAATCAAATGATATTAAATTGCGTAGCCAAGAAAAAAGGCTATATCACAATCATTCGATGGAAAACACTGCGAAATGCAAGAAAATCTGAATATGTTGCAGATTCTTATCTAGGAGTAAGTAATCGCTTCGTTACATCAATCGAGATAGATTTTACTCTCATTGCCATAGGAACTATTTAATATGATCAACCAACTATTATCACAATGAGACGGCTTTCTCTAATTTAAGGTCAGCTACCACAACGGAATAATTGTTTCTGGTGCTTCCAATCAAGAAAGTGTTCCATTCTTTCTCCGGCCCAAACCAGCTTTGTTAAGCTGAAGGACATTTACCTTGAAGACTGTTTAGAACAACATACGGGTACCACAGGAATGAAAGAGCCTTTACGTTCGCAGCAATCCCAAGAATCCATGTCACACCCATCACTGAGGCCATTTTAACACAGATTAAAGCCACGTTAGAGCTTTGTTGTTGCTTAGTCACTTTTCTGGCCGTCTGAAACAATACAAATGTGAATAACCCTGGTTTTAAAATTCAGATTTCCTTGTGATGTTCTATTGGTCATGCAAGGCGTCGGACAAATGGTTAACGTGGCAAAGCACAGAAAGACAGACACTGCGACAGTGGAACTCTGATTTTCTTTGTTTAAAAACACGTAGAAATATTGTACCCACCTTTCTGGTTTTGAGGATACGAAAGCTAGTGTGTCCCAGAGCAAAGAGGTTGAAAATCAGAATCAGTCCAACAGGAAAAATGAATGAGAATATCTTTGCTCTATTCTCTGATATGAAACAGCCCTCTTTTCCAAGGCCTGTTTAGTCAGCAACACATGGTATTAGTTGAGGTATTTTGCAATATCAACATCACTTACCCGAAGTTAGAGTAATCTATGCTTTTCTCATGGTTCAATGACAAACACTGAATACACCTTTTTATGTTAGGCACTTACCATATCCAATCACTCCTTCCCTAAGCTGGTCAACTGTAACACAGGAAAGGACTACAATAGCAGGACCTCCCCAGGCGTACAGGGAGTAACACATCAAACGTTTATTGGAGTCCTCTTGTCGGTTTGCCGCCGGATCTAATTGGAATGATAATGAGCAACTCATACTTAATGATCGTCCTCTCAAGTACTTTTGTTAATATGGATTCTATGGGAACTGCCTCCTCAAGTCCTCAAATCAATTGAACTGAACCATGAATGAAGCAGTATGCAGTCGAGATTTTGATCAAAACTGGAAGTTACTAAATTGCGATACAGACGTTTATACTTCTTGACAAGTAGATTCACCATAATCAACAATATCTAATATGACTTACTGAAACAAAGAGATTTCTAAGATTTAAAGGAAATGACGTAAGTTCTAGATTGATAACGATCCTAAATCACTAAATTAACAATGTCAACTTACCCGGGACTTTTGCGAAAGCGCGATGCACATCATATGCCATAACGTTCATCCACGTGAAGGAAGAAAGGGCGAAGAGGTGAAAAAGAGCGGCGACCACAAGGCAGATCAACTGATCGTCATTTTTGCCAGCTGAGAGGAATACACTTTCATACAGCAACAAAGAGATCACCAAGTTTAACATGATTTTCCCTGGTAAGTTACGGAGCTCAACAAATAAGACGTAAGTCACTAACAATAAAACCAGAGAAACGATGGACACGACTGCCCCAATAAAGCTGAAAAGCTGAAGAAATTTGTAGTTTTCTTTGTGCTCAAATGAAATACTTCTAGTTCCGGGGGAAGTTTTTGAAAAATTAACGCACAGTAACAATTTTTCACCACAAATCTTATAAGAAACGTTACTGTAATATTTCCCATGGGCCTTCAAAAATACGAGATCATTGGGAACGAGTTCATAATCCGTTTTGTTGTACGCTACAAAGGTGCAGTTAAGTTTACATGTTTTGATTTCCTTTCGATGTACAGAGTCATGCGCTTCATCGTGTAGACAGGTAGTAGGATGATCTTCTGATCTTTTGTGTTGGTCTGCTGTTTTGATACAAAACTTAGATGTGGAGGTAAATTCAAACAGAATTGTTAGGGCAGGGGGTGTATTGAAGGAATGTGGCGGAGAAGAGTTGTCATCTTGCACCAAAAAAACTATATCACTGAGCTCAATTCCATTGCAAAAGGCACAGTGAGGGTTACGAAACAATTTCGATCTACTCCTGGAGACTACTAATAGAGCGTAACTCAGACATTCTGCTTTGCAAAGGGTATTACCCATCGTTGGATCGCTTTTGATCGGAAGCCGAAGCCATGGGATGCATCTTTTCAAGGAATCATCAACTGGCATTTTCTGAAGATAACACCGATCTCGCAAAAGTCTCAAGTCTTTGCTTAGACTAAGGTTGGAAACATCGAACCACTTAAAACACTGGAAACTGACTTTCCAGAATGCTGTGTGCAATGCTCCATTGCACCTGGCGCAGTAAATATTTTTGTATGTCACGTTACTGTATTTGTCATACACTGGCACAGGGTTCAAACCAATCTCATCTTCATCGTTGCCTTGACATTTTTGCTTTGTATTCTCATCTGTAAAGTTCTTCGGGCATGAGCTCCAAACTGCGCGACCAATCAACCGATCCGGGACCCAATAGTTATATTCTCTGACACATGTTTCCATCGATACTTGAGGTACTATACACCTGTTCAAAAACAACAAAGGAAAAAAAACGGGTCATCAATGTTCTTTGGTACATAGGCCCTTAAAAATGGTAAAACGGGCCAATGAGAGGTGGGAAAGGGTAAGAGCTGTTAGTTGAAACCAGGTTTCGTGTAAGGCGTTACGGTGAATCTAAACTGCACTTTTAAATTATTATTTTCCCTTTATGTCCTTGACTGAACCAATTTTCATTCAATACTACAATTTTGGTACAGTTTGAGGAACGCCAACATCTGTTAATCATAGAGTCCCCTTTCAAAAGAAAATCAGCGATATCTGGTGGACTCTTTTATAAGCTCGATGAGTAGGCCATGATTGGGTATGTGTGGTGACTGACCTCAGAAGATTAGGGACCTTCAATAAGAGCACTTACCGGAGCCCTTTTACGATGTTCTCGCAAACGAACCCAATGTACTTAATGTTTCAAATTAACTAGTCAAGCTTCGAAGGCGAGAGCCAAAACCAGAACTTTGGGAAAGTTCCAAGGTATGGTCATTAGACGACCCAAGCACGACCACTATAGTGGTAGTAATTACTTGAGGGCAGGAGATTATAAACAGTTTATAATTTCTTGCTTAAAGCCGGCGACACACCCGGCGATTTTATACGCCGATCGCGGCGAATTCGATCGCCGTCGAAAATCGTTAGCCATTTTCGCCACAGATCGCTGGGACACACTTTGCAGACAATGTGGCATTCAGCCTTGATCCCAGGTTCCATCGGGTGACTTATAAAAGTTGTGCGAACCAATGTAAACAAAGGGAGTGACAACAGCGAAGCCGAAAAAATTGTTGGCTGCTGCCATAATTTTGCAACTAAAGCGCTCCAGGAAGCGTTCTGAAAAGTGGGATAATAGAAATATATGGTCGAAGACGTGGATTTATTGAAACGCAGAGTCTTTCTTGAGACGATTACTGTAGCCACTGGGCAGTACATCAAATAAGCATGGCTTTTCTGACCACAGTATGATCAAATTGATTTCTTTTTCTTCGGTTCAGAAACAATTGTCGATGCCTTCCGCCATTTTGAAAAGTCATTGTCATAATACCGCCCAACTTGATTGGTTAATTTTACCGGCGACTCGCAGAAGAAAGGAGAGGAAATCGCGGGGACGGGCAGATTTGGCGAATGCCGGCGAATTTAATCGCCGATATCTGGTGGATCAGATATCGGCAATTTTAATCGCCAGTCGCGGCGATCGGCGAAAATCGCAATCGCCGTACTGGGCACACCTGGCGATTTTCGCCAATCGCCGCGATCGTCGTATAAAATCGCTAGGTGTGTCAACGGCTTTAGGATTAACCACAGGACCAACCACATGGGTCACAGGGACTATAAAAAGTGGAATGAATCGACTCGTAGAAGACACTGTCAGAATTGGGAACTCCGCGTCAAGGCAGAGCCTTGAACAACAGCAAATTAGGATCAAGCTGAAGTGATATCACAGTGTCAAAAAGAAAAGTTAAAGATAGCTAGTGAGTCGTGAGAAAAGAAAGTCTTACTTAGATTTATCTTAAAGTGGTTAATATTTGAATATATTCGAAAAGATTAAAAACATCTGTATAAGATATATTTGATCTTGAACTGTGTGGGAAACAAATACTCACAATTCATCGAAGTCAAAACAGCAATCACCAAAGCTTTTACAAAATCCATCACAAAAGCAACCCTCATTTGAATCATGACGCCTTCGTTTCCTTCCACACCGCCTTCTGCAACTTAATTTTTCCATTTGATTGGCCGTTAGGGGCTTCACTAGGGTCTCGATCTGCTCCTTCCACTGCGACTCTGAGGAATGAGAAAATATAGAGGTTAGATTCTATACAAAAATCCCCAAAGCTTAGGCTGAAATCGAAATCAAAGGAAGCAGCAACTGATATTTCCATTTGGAATTCCAGCTGTTAATATTGAAAGCTTCCTACTGCATTCTTTCTCTACAAGGTCCAACCTTTTTTTTCAGAAATACAATAACTACTCAGTAAATTTACACGTAAAAGCATGTATAACGTCACATTGTATGAAAATACTGTATCATTGAAAAAAAAAAAAAAAATTTTAATTTCACTTAATGTGCTACCTCTGCCAGGGACACTGCAGGGTTTTACAACTCTGCTCATTCTCGGATTTTACTTAAATTGCTAATATGTATATCTCCTAGAAATGCAGGAGTAGATCTCTTAAACATACCATTGATGAACACAAGACGTGAGCCGAAGTCAGGTCTTAAAGTTCTCAAGAGGAAGGATTCCAAAGCCATTTTAGCACTCGTGCTTTTATCTGCATCTAAACGAAAAAAAGCTATGTGCTAGGACAGTTGAATTTTAAAATAAGAACCTTCAGTGATAATGAAATCTGTCCACAGGACTTATTTTTCTCCTGAACGGCCTTTACATCATTTCCTTTATAAGGAATATATATATTCATAAAGGAATAAAGCATATTAAGTGATTTCTTTAGCGGATAGAACATCATGTGTCGCATTGAAGGGGCTGCATAGAACGAAGTTAAACTGGAAACAACAATCTAACGAAGGCATTAGACCTACCTGTTATCTTTCCCGAGATAACCGTTAACGTATTGAATAAAAATACGATTTGTAGGCACCAGAAGACAAGCGATAAAAACATTCTATGGATGAACCTGAAAAACGAATTCTGGTATTGAGATAGTCGGAGTAGACAATGAGTTTTGGCGAAATGAAATCCGTTGTTAAGCAGAAAAAGCATAGAACCTAACTACTCGGTTAACTTGGACCCACGTTAACTCGAATAAGATCCGATTTGCTTTGGAACTGACCCCATTTTGTTATCAATTTTCCATCAGCGTATTCGAACCCGGTGAACTCCAACACCCTCAAAGTCAAACTTATTTTAATTTCTCGATTCGCTCAAATCGTAGCACTAAAATTTTTTTTTTCTAGTTTTACCACTCCTGCTCAATGTGTGGTATTTTCTAAAAAAACATGTAAGGCTATATATATGATTTAATATGTAGTCCTCATTATGCTTATAGGAAGTACCTACTTTAATTAGGATATTTTTGCCGTGTTGCAGTCTCCCGTCTTTTTCTTGTTGTAGAGACGTTTCGATCAGTCAGTTGGTGGGTAAACCATGAACATATATCTTTTTTTCAATAAATATAGGGTGATGTTGAACCTTTAAGTTTCATTCGCGTGCACCAGTGTCTAAAAATGGTTTGCATTCTATTTTTCAATGCTTTTAGAGAGCATGAATCATCTTTTATTCATCAAAATTATCATCAAAATTGTTATATTTTCAATGGTCACTAAACACCTGCATCTCGGTCCTTGGCGATGAAAAAAGAAACAAAACAAAACAAAACGAAACAAAACAAAAATAGTAGTATTCTCTTTGTGAATACTTGCTTCCTTTATTCCCAAAAAAAAGGGAGGAAAACTAAAGACTTTAGCGAGTCGCTAGAGAGATTCGTTAAAAGTAGATAAGACCCGCAGAGAGAAATTCGTCAAAAGCAAGTAAGACCCACTTACAGAAATATTATGCGTCCAAACTATCGTTAACTCAGACAGTAGCCCATTTGAATAATTAAAACTGCTGTTTCAGCAGGTACTGATGACAAAATAGTTCGTTCGTTAGCGACCGGTACTAAGTGATATTCATGTGAGGCTAATGTGTTGTCTATTTTTCTGAAGTATCACGTACCTATCCAACAGGCGATATTAAAGTATTTGGTATTAGCGGCAACATGTCATCAGTATTCATGAAAATATTTTTATTTCCATAGACTATCGTCTTGAACTCTTGTGATGGCACCTCGTCGGTAATCACTCCTCAGCGAAAATCGTCCGCAGGAAGTAGAATCCATAACTATGACATGCATAGAGTTTTGAGTTGGCTGAGACAGAAGCCGGGTCGAATAAAAACTGCTGTGCCAAGTGCTTCCTTGCAAGTTGAAACATATTTCGTTCCTTAGCTATCAGTGTGAAAGGAATGAAGCAGGAATCTAATAAGCGATATTAAAGCATGTTGCTTTGGCAACGGCCTGTTAACACTATGAAGGCAACCTTCATATTTATAGACTGCCGTCGCCATTTCTCGTATTTCTCATTTGATACTGGCACCACGCCATCGGATAACATAACACATATTAAGCGTTTAATATTTGACGTCAAGAGAAACAGTGAGTTTTACCTTTTACCGAGGGCCGGACGACTCAAAATCAGAACAATGACCAAAGCAAAAGAATGTTTCGATCGCCATAAAAAATAAGCCTAGATGCGAAGTATTCTCTTAACGATGACGATGGATCACTGAAATGAAAGAGAACCTACAGACAATAACGACCAATAATCAACCTGTCAGCGAGTTATACGATCTATTATAATCGTTAAAGAGGCACTGCACGGATATGTGCGGTCTAAAATAAAATGTTTTATCCCATTTCGTCACCAATATAATTACATCTAAGCTTACCAAATGGGAAATTCCAATATTGTCCTTCAACATGACAGACTTGTTGACTTTCTTAAGCAGGAATACGATATTATATAATTTAGAATCATCCAAAATATTGGTATACCTGTTTGTAATATGGGTATCAACACATTTCGTATTTTCTTCTTTTCAGTGTAGGGGGGGGGGGGGGGGGTGTATTTATCTTTATCTTGTATCTTAATTAGACTAAGTACAGGTGCTGAAGTCCTGTTGACAAGAACTGGTAACCAAATTTGATTTCCTTAGGGTTTATTTTCGAACCTTTTCTTTTTTATTGAAAGATAACTCGTACGTGATGAAAATATCAACACGCAATGCATTTAATAAGCACCAAAGTTTATTGAAATTCTGCTCAAAAATAGCAATTAAAGCCTGAAGCAAGGAAAGTATGATAATCAGCTTCTCTTTGCAAACAGTTTGACGTAATTGATTCTTTCCAGTCTTGTTGATGTCTCAGTTGAGTAACTTCCATTACACTTAAAATCCCTTTCTTTTTCAGAAAAAATAAATAAATTCCCTATAAAGTGGAGGTAAATGATTTTCATCTCTTACCTTAAGAAACTATATAACTTTTGTAAACGGAAATCCCCGTGTCTGAAGAGGAAATGAAGTTGAGAGGGAAAACGGTCTGCAGTTTCGAGATATATTAAAGTCTTTGTAAATCGATATATAAACACTGTTTTCAGTATTATATTCAATATAGCCACTATGCCACCCCCTTGCGTTTTTCCAATACTGTTCCATTAAAAATTTAAACTTAGTTATTTG